AAATGTTGTTGGAATAAATCAGTTTTAGCTTTGTTTTTCTAACATCATGCCTTTCATTTATTTTCTTACTATTTCTTATTCCTGTGGTGTGCATTGTAGTCTTATCCTTATAACATAAAGGGCATATACATATACATACATACATACATATATACATACATACATACATAACACATACACACACACACACACACAGAGTATATACATGCTTCCAAATACACAAGCATAGATTAGTGGGAGGCCCAGTTTAACACTAAACAGCAAAATCCATTGCTTGACAACAAAACTCCTAAAGTCTGCAAAGTCATCTTTAACTTCACAGAACTCAGGCTGATCTTCTACCGCTTTGTAAAGAACTGGAGTTGCTTTTTCCTTTTTACAGATCAAATGCTTGATCTTGGTTCTAATACGTGTCTGTATTATAGGAAGTAGCTGGACAAATGCTCATGAAAAAGTGATATCTTCAGTTGAGCTGAGCAGAACTGCTCTTTCTACCACCTCTAATCAAGAGTTTCACAAGGATAGGTGAGTCTAGTTGCTAAGAATGCCAGGATAAGACCCTTATATTTTCTTATCTCATGATTGCCGCTTAAAAATTTAACACACGCAAATGTGGCCGTGATGAATGGTGCTATGGCTCATCTTTCTTAAGCGTGCTAAGTGATTTTGAGAGTGTTCATTTTGCTGTGTAACCAGAAGTAACAGACTGCTGCCTTTTGGCTTATATTTATATTTGGCTTATATTTATCTGACTTTACCAGTGTGCTCTCACCGTCTATGTAATTGGTGACTTTATTTTCATGGGAGATAATATTCAGCCTTTTTCAGCATCAGTAACATGGATTCAGATAATATTCCATTGAGAATATAGTGTAAAACATTCTCAGGCTACATATACAACCTGAAAAAAAAAGCACCAGTTTTCTCTTTTGCAGGAAACTATCTTATATCATGTCACTGGTCCATAGAAAGAGTGATATGTCATAATCTGCAAAAATGTTATCCCTCTCAGTTATGTATTTTTGGTTTCCTGATCCATTTTTCTTCAGGAATTATGAGAAGCCATTCTCAGGACGCAGGAAGGTTTTGCAATTTGACCTGGATGAAACAAGTATTTCAAAGGAAGAGCAGCAGGACAAGTGTTTTCCTCCTGGTTTTGGAAGTGCTGCTTTGCAGCAACTTAAAGAAGACATCCTAGGAACTGTGGGTAACATGGTATCCTGCTGAAGCACTTAACTGTATAGATGTTTACTTTAAATGGCTTCTGTGCTTGTGAGAGTTCTTTGCTTTCCAAAGACTGGACACACCACAGCGTAGCAGATCTGTATACGATGCTTTATGGTGGCACACACCTTCAGCAACAGGCTATTGCTCTGGATTAATTTCACCCTCTTAGGCCTTGCAAATTGATGTAGCCACATAAATACATCTTTAATACTCAGTCCTTAATGCAAACAAAAGTCTCAAAGTCTGTAAAGTGGCACACAACCTTTGCCTCCCTCCAAAAGTTCTTGCACTGATTGATATGAGGTGCTGCTTCAGTGTGGTTGTTCCTTTTCTGGTTGCTCCCAAGCTCTGCTCTTAAGCAGTGTTGCTTTTAAGCACTCTAGCTGAGCTCCCAAGCCAAGCTTCAGGCAGGAATCCCACCAGGATATGCCGCTTATTGTAGCTTGTGGTCCTGGCAGTTGACTGATAGCCCTGTTGTCTACCTGTAATAGCTGTAAATTTTCAGATTTTGCCTCCTGCTTCCTTGCCTGTTTTTTTACATTGCAGAGGGCTGGTATGGAGAACTTCATGGAATTCCTCCATAACACATTAGGAAGCCACCTGTTAAACTTCTGGATTGATTGTGAGGATATCATGGATTGCACCAGGCACTTGGAGGCCACAGTTTCACCACAGGAGACCAAGCTGTTCTTTGCCAGTGCCTTTCGGTGAGAATGCCATTCTAGTGAATTTCTCAATCTAGGAGTGGTGGGAAATGTCAGTCATGGAAACAAGGGATGAGATGAGCAGGATCCATGAATGGATCTTGTGAAAGAGCAGAAATATTGGTTATGTCAACAATCAGCAACCATTCAGCTTCAAGGCCATGAAGTGCAGGACAAAGGTTCCTTTGAAATGTGAGAAAGGTGATGAAAAGCAGCCATAGGTTTAAACTGCCATGGACAGAAGAGAGATTTGAACCCTCTATTGACAGAAGGGAATCAATGGTTCAACAATTCCATCCTAGCTACAATAAAGATTCTTATCTAGCTGCAATATGTCTTGTGCCTGGGAGACTTTAGCTAAGTCTGACTCTAGCTTCTAAATAAGCTGTGCAAAGTAGGGGTCTGAGATTTATTACTAAGTCCTAGACTGGGGGGATATGTGACAGATCTTTGGATTTGAAACAGTGAAACAAAAACCTAGTTAATTTATGTCAAATGTTTTATCAGAGATATTGGGGTGATGAGGGGAGTATATAAATCTTTAAATTACTTCCCAAGCTGCTATTATCTTGGAATGTTGGGGTGGAAGAAGAGTGAAGGTGCCACGGATCGTGCCTGTATCTGTTTCAGCAGGGCTAATCAAAGCTTGTGGGAGGTGTAGGAATAATATAGTTATATATTTAGTTTATATATAATAGTATATATAATAACCATTTTTAAAAGAAATGTTAATTGTAATTGTAATATTTTAAAGCATAATAAAATCAAATAAATAAATAACTTAGTAGAAAGTAAGTTGCCTTCATTGCAACTTTTGGTCATAGGAAGGCAAACTTAGGTAGGCATACCAAAGAGTTTAATTAAATTAAAGCCAATTTTTGCAAGGTTGCCAAGTCTTGCCAGATTTTAATATAAATAAAGATTCAGCAAGTCTAAGAAGATTGCCATTGTGAAACTTAACCATTTACATTTTAGTTTGCGTTTTGCAAAAGCCAAGAGAAGGCTTGTAGACATTTTTTGCTAACCCATGGTATAGACTAAAAGGCAAAAGTACACTCCATTAAAATTTAAGAGAGAGAGATAAAAACCTGCTTGCATAATTTTGTCAGGTTTTTTTAATTACGAGGAGAGATAAATAGCAGAACATTTGGCAGCCCAACAATATGACCTTGGACATCTTTCTCAGCCTTCAGGGATTACTTTTACCATGAAAATAAACTAATTAATTGATTAAAGAACAACATGGGTTTTTATGAGCACTTGGATTGGTCTTTTCTAACTTCTGCACCAGGACCAGCATCATGAGTTGATATTGATGGGTATCTATTGATTAGTGCATCCTCCATTACACCTGGTCTGGCTGCAGCTCCTGGCTATTGTAACTTATTCACCTGCCTTCTCCAAGTGAAGCAGTGAGAAGGACAAGGAGGAGGAATATTGTTTCTTACCTTGTGTTCTGTTGGTGCACTGGTGCAGTTTTGCAGATTGTGGCTGCTCTCTTCTTAGAAGCCCAATCTGGAGCTCACATTTTTCTATACCTGGGTGATGTACCACCCTATGTTATGCTGCATAATACAAAAATCTTGTTCTTTTATCCCTTGGGATACCTGAAAACCCTGAAATATAGGGACAAATATTTGGAGGAGATGGTGGAGGGTGAGGTGCACACTGACTCTAACTGGTCCACATGAGCCGCAGATCTTGAGGGATGTGAGCTTGTGGCAGATTCTCAACTTCTTCAAGAGTAGAGGGAGTAATCATATAAGCTATACTATCTGATCAGAATCTAATGTGCAGTGCTAGTATCATTTATTAAATATTGCATCATCCTCTTTTTGAAAAAAGAAAATATAGATATATTTTTATGTAGCACTAAGCAGGAAAATATTCCAATGCAAGTCGATTTTATGCTGCTGCTCCTCTTTTGGCAGGAGTATTCAAGCCAAATATATGTTGACTGTTCTTCCTGCTTTTCAAGTGAGTAATACAGCTGGAGTGCAAGTCCCTTTTCCTTTGTCCAGGTAACAGCTTAAGTAATCAGAAACTTAGCTAAGTCAGCTGGTATCCCAGGTAAGAAAGCAGAGCTCAGGGGATAATTCTTTGCCTCCTATAACCTTCTTGTGCAGAAATGTCTTGCATAACTGAATTGTAGGTTCTGTCCTATGAGAGTTGCTTCATGAATCAGAACAGTCATGGAATCCTTCTATTGCCTAGGTTTCTTGTGAGAATCTTCCACCTTGTTACTTAGCTATATGGTTATCAGAGGGTTTGTTTTGCACCTTACAATAGAGACTTCTGACAATTACTAAAGGGGGATAGTGGGAATCAATTTAATACAGCCTTTAGAAGATAGCTAGAAATATGTACCTATTATTTTCATTTTCTCTTAATCTGGCATATTTAAGAAGTTAAATATTAGCCCCACAATAATAATAGTAGATTAGGCTCACGTTTTAAATGGGTGAGGGACCATCCTGGCTGTTCTGGATTCCTCTTCTACAAAGTCATATGTGCAGAATACTTTACTTGTTAGAAGTGCCAGCAATCACAACAATCAAAGTATATATGTGTAAAGTGGAACTTAGTTTCTATTTTATGCAAACTATATGCTTTCTGTTTGCCACCAGGAACAGCTTGAGGAAATTATAGGCGAAGAGGAGACGACAGCTTTTGCTGCCTTGAGCAGGAAACAGTATGATGCCTTAAAACGACTGCGTTGTTACTGGGTCCCCCGATTTCTAATTCACTATGACAGGACCAGGCAGCTAAGGTTTGTGCTAGGAGGGATCACGGTGCTTTTGGAGTTGGGCTATAGGTGATAAATAAAAATATTCTTATGTTCTAAATAGAACATTTTAAAATGGCTTTAATGCATGGACCATATAATACACAATTAGTTCTGGGTTCTGTTCTTGTTTACTCTGTGGTGGACTTTAGTAAAGAACCACCACCACACTCAATTTTCTTCATTCAACCAAAACTGGGAATGTTGATTTAATTTAAAGTACCTTGTCAGTTTAATTTAGTACTTCTATAGGTTTGAACCCAGTTCAGAGGTCCATGTTGAAGAGGAGCTTTTCTGGAGTAGTGATTTCCCATCTTCTTTCAATATGGCCACGGTGCTTCCTATTATGGGTGACCAAAAGGACACAGTGAACTATATGAAAAGAAACAAAGACTGGAGAATGGCGTGAGTACCAGTCCATAAAACAGAAGTGCTAGGTTTGTTTTATTTTTGATACTGACTGTTATTCTGCTGTAATCATAAGTCTTGATGGGTTTCTCCCCCTTGAAGCTTAGTCAACTAATTGTCCTTAACTACTCAGGATCTGTTACTGTATCTACATTTGTGTGTTTATTAAAATTATTTGTGTGTGTGTGTGTAAAAAAAAATCCCCTCACCCCTATGGGTGGTATGTGTCTTCCTCAGTCTCGGGTCCTCTACCAGAAGCTTGGGAGTTGGAAGGTTCTGCGCGGTATCTTAGCTGTTCCTAGCACTGCACTCTTATGGACAGAGAGCTCTGATGTTGTTCCTGGGATCTGTTGGAGCCACTCTCCCAGTTTAGGAGTCACAGCCCCGAGTGCTGCTATCACAACTGAGAACACTTTGGCCTTTATTTTCCACATGCTCTCTAGTTCCTCCTTCAGGCCCTGGTACTTCTCCAACTTTTCATGCTCCTTCTTCCTGATGTTGCTGTCACTTGGCACTGCTATATCTATCACCACCATTGTCTTCTGGTCCTTGTCTACTACCATCCTGTCTGGTTGATTAGCCAGTACTGCCTGTCCTTCTGGATCTGGATGTCCCTCAGAATCTTAGCCTGTTATTCTCCATGACCTTCTGTGGAATATCCTATCTGGACTTGGGGGGGGGGGGCTCTAGCCCATACACTATGCAGATGTTCCTGTACATAATATCAGCTATTGGTTGTACCGTTCAATGTATGCTTTTCCTGCCTGCATCTTACACCCTGCCACTATATGTTGAGCAGTCTCTCAGGCCTCTCTGCACAGTCTGCCCCTTGGGCCCTGTCTAGCGTGGTAGACCCCTGCTTCTATGGATCTGGTGCTTAGTGCCTGTTCT